TTTGGCCAGAACTGGAGGTAGAGAGCGTTCTGTTATCTCCATATCTCGCCTGCAACTCCAGCATGAAAGGCCCCAGGATGTCTTATCGATGCAGTGCCTCTGGTTCAGAAAAAAAATAGCCACTCGGGTTACATAGACACTTGGCAGGGTGTACGCATGGCTGGTATGTGCCTATGTTTGGCAACGGGGGCCAGGTAGAATTAACTTTGGCAGCCTTGGGGATTAAAAGAAGGTTCATAGCATCTGCATTTTGAGAAAACAGTCTCCTGGCATGAAGTTCCACCTGACGGGCTTCCTTGCACTGAGGCCCAGTAGAAGGAGCAATGTCATCTCTAAACAGTTTGTCATGGCCTCTGAGCCCAACTCCTTGTTTGAGGTGTGACCTTGGTTGTAAGAGCCAGGAGCAGGGTCCTGTGGGCAGGCAGGTGGCCTTGGCCTCACCCTTGGCCCCCTGATTCTGCCAACTCACTGCTGAGCAATGGAAATGGTATCCAGGGAGGCCTCATCTTTTGGGGCCTAAAGGGCTCTGTGTTCTCCATACAGCTCTGGATCTGTTAGGGTTCGTCTGAGCTTCCCCTCCGAAAGACACATGTAAATACTCTAACCCTCAGTACTGTAGAATGTGACCTTATTTGGAAATAGAGCCATTGCACGTGTGATTAGTTGTGATGAGGTCATAGTAGAGTAGAGTAGAGTAGTCCTCTAATCCCATGGGACCGGTGTTCTTCAGAGACAGCCATGTTAAGATAGCTACGTAGGGAGCAGGCCCTATGCAGCTACAAGCCAAGGATGACCAAAAGACAGGCAGCAAGCCACTAGAAACCAGAGAGAGGCAAGGGAGGATCCCAAACATCGTTTAAAGACAGCACGGGCCTGCCAACAACTTATTTCAAACTTCCAACTTCCAGAACTGGGAGACAACTTCTGTTAGAAGCCACCTGGTTCAGGCCCTTTGCTCTCCCATAGCTCTAGGAAACCAAGGCAGACTGGATGTGATGGAGGCCCCTTTCCTGGCTCATGGTTGCTTTCTTGCAGAGGGGCCGGTGCTGTGGGGCCTCCTCATTTTTCCTTACAGTGACTTCAGTTTCCATAGCCCCCTCTTCCAAATTCTGGAAGCACATTTATTCTCTCCAACACAACCCCTTGCGCTAGTCTGAGGATGAAGATGTATAAGAAAGGGCCCCTGGGGAGCCACGTCGCTGGGAAGAGAGGATGCACACAGGGAAGACAGCCCAAACATCTGCCCAACTGTGGTGCAGGTTCTGGAAGCTGTTAGGGAAGACTCTGGGTCCTAGAACTGGAAGGAAAGGAGATTTTAGACAGGAGATGAAATGTCTTCCCTCCCTCCCTCCCTCCCTCTCTCCCTCCCTCCCTCCCTCCCTCCCTCCCTCCCTTCCCTTCCCTTCCCTTCCCTTCCCTTCCCTTCCCTTCCCTTGCTTCCTTCCTTCCTTCCTTCCTTCCTTCCTTCCTTCCTTCCTTCCTTCCTTCCTTCCTTCCTTCCTTCCTTCCTTCCTTCCTGTCTGTATGCACGCCATATTGGGGCTTGAACTCAGATTCTAGGTGCCATCCCTTAGCTTTTTTACTCAAGGCTAGCACTCTATCACTCGAGCCACAGCTCTACTTCTGGCCTTTGGTGGTTAATTGGTGGTAAGAGTCTCATGAACTTTCCTGCCCAGCTGATTTTGAACTGTGTGATCCTCTGATCTCGGCCTCCTGAGTAGCTCACATGCATGAGCCAGCCACCAGCCCCTGTGGGGATAAGTCTGTTTCACAGATGAGAATACTGAAGTCAAGAAATGCCAGTTGGCCTTCAGAAACCATCATTAGAGCCTAGGAATAGCACTCCCCAATCTCCAGCTGCCTCTTGGCAGTAAGACCCTGGTCCCAGCTGTTTAGTGATAGTAGAGCCCCTGCTCTACTATCATGGCCTCTGAGATCTGAGCCCCTCATAGCCCATCCTTTGTTTCCACTCCATAAAGGCTCTGGCACTTTGAGCCTTTCCCTGTCTATCCTTGGACTGTCAAACTCGTTGGTGGTCTTGTCCTGTGAGCAGTCCTTCTGCTTAGTTCCCTGGCTCCCCAGGAGTGCTGCCTTATTTAATCTGTTGCTGCAGGCTAGCACAGATCTTGTGAAAGCCTGGGCTCAGCCTGTGTGGCTCTGTTCTACCCTCTGGTGTCTTGTCCAAGCTGAGAGGCTGTGGAGGACAATGGGATCCCAGGGGTGGGAGCCGGCTGGGCAGCATGGAGATGAGCCACTTGAGGGATGGTGCTCTGTGGGATTTCCCCCTGGGGCTCCTGGGACATGGTTTGGCTTTGGAATGTGGTGTATCACCCCATGCCCAACACACATCAGCCCTGAAGGCTGCATTTGGAGAGGAGTATGAGGGCTCTGACTTCATCGCTGCCGGCCTGAAAGCTGCAGGCGTGGCATTTCCAGGGACCGGGAAGTACAAAGTCATGCACTCGTGGCTTTGCTACAGCCTGTCATTACTCTGGCTGATGGAAGAAAGTCGTTAGTGCCCACATGTGCTTTTTTCTGAAAATCTGAAAGCCTTCCTCTAGGAGTCTACTGTTCCCAGTTCCATCCAGCTCAGCCAGTCTGAGGTTTGGGTGCCCTTTCGTGTGTGTGTGTGTGTGTGTGTGTGTGTGTGTGTGTGTGTGTGTGTGTGAGAGAGAGAGAGAGAGAGACACGCATGTGTCAGAAGTCAGGTAAGGAGAGTGATCAGATGCACAGACAACAGAATGCCTGTGTCACCATGAAAGGTACTGCAAGAGAAGAGAGAGAGATTTCTGCTTTCCAAACCCTCTCCTATTTGTACACAGATGGCATTCTTTTTGTCTGTGGAGCCCAGAGGGCTTCTGTTCCTTCCTCCACTTCCTTGTTCCTGCTCCTTGGCATCCTGGGAGCATTCTTCATCGCTTGGAGCATGATCATGAGTGGCACAGGTGTGTCCCAGGACCAGAGCCAGGAACAATGCTGCCCTTTGTGGGCTCCAGCTTTGGTGCTTTATTATCAAAGTCCTGGCATTTCTGGGCACTGCATGCAGGCGGGGGGGGGGGGGGGGACTTGGCCTGCCCATCCCTCTACGTCCTTGAGCCCAACGAGGGTGAGGCTGTTTCTGTGTGAAGCAGCAGATCTCCCAATAGTGGCAGGCAGAAACACAGGTGGACACCTGCAGGTACCTCAGAGAAGTGACCCCACCCATTCTATCCTTAGGCGAGAGGAGGGGCCTCAAAGGAAGAGTCAGAGAGACCTGAGGGCTCAGGTCTGCTTGAGGGAAGTAGGTAGAGCTCACCTTCAGGCATGAAGAAGATGGGTTGAACATCTAACCAACTCCCTAGCAAGGGGGCTGGACCATGGAGCAGGAAGCTGGCAGCATTTTGGAGTCAATGTCCCCCTATCTGTCAGGGGGGAAATGCCATACAAGGAATGTGGCCCAAGTCTTTACCTCTGTGGCCATGAGGGCAAGAGACAGCTGGGGAATGTGGGAATGTCATTCCAGAGCTCACTAAACAGATGGGGGAAAAGAGGAACCATCATTACACCACAAGATAGACTGTGTTATGGCTGCTTTTGAAACCAGACCTTGTTGGAAACCAGCTTGTTGGAAGAAAGAGTTTTAGGATGTCTGAGCCCTTATCAACCAGAAGTGGTCCCTACTCCGTAGGTTATCAAGCAAGCACGGGGTGTGATGCCTCTGTTCATCCTAGGCCACTGACTTCACAGTCAGGAGGGGACATACAGGAGATCCCTGGCACCTGGAAAGTGGAGCCTGGGCCACCTACCTGAGCTGTGACACCTCCAGGCCACCTACCTGAGCTGTGACACCTCCAGGACCCATGGCTGTGGCCATCCCAGAGCCATCGTGGGAACCGCACTTCACTGTGCATTTTCCCGGTGGTGGAACTCCGGTTAACGGTTTCTGCTGTTACTCTTTATCCCCCCTTCTGTCTCCCTTCCTCCCACCTAGCTGAAATCTTGGGTCTTCTGTCCCCTTTCACTTTAACTCTCTTTTCTCTGGGAAGCTCAGAGAAGACCTTAAGAAAGTTGGGGGACACCAGTCACCGGGGCTCTCCCACTCATAAACTGCATCTCCAAGCACCCTATCTCTCTCTGGGTTTTAGTTTCTCCATCTGTAAGGGAGTCCCCAAGATGCTTTTTTTTATTTATTTTTGACCAGTACTAGGGCTTGAACTCAGAGCCTGCATTCTGTCCCTTTGTTTTCTTCAGCCAACACTGGTGCTTTATAACTTGAGCCACAGCTCCACATCTGTCTTTTGGGTGGTTAATTGGAGATATGAGTCTCATGGACTTTCTTCCTTGGGCTGGCTTTGAACCATGGTCTTCAGATCTCAACCTCTAAGTAGCTAGGATTACAGTGGCTAGGATTACCTGGTCTCTGGGTTCTTTCTAATGTTGATGATCAAGTCTCTGCTTCTGTGGAAGTAAACACTGCCTATAGAAGACAGGCACTACCCCTCATTTGGGACATTGTCGGTAGGCTGTTTCACTGGAGCTAGCATAGCCATCCTAATGCTTCTGACTGGGCACAGCCCTTCTGGTCGATGATCATACGTTTGTCTCTGGAACACTTTTAATTCTTCCAGACATTGTTCTCTGTGCCTGTAAACATCCTTACGCCAGATGCTGGGCAGTCCTGTACGTGTGTTTTACAGATTCCCAAGGTGAGGCTCCATGAAGCCCTCCCCAGGAATCCATGGCCCCTAGTGATCCAGGTGAATTAGCAGAAAAAGCACTGCTCTAGGGTCTGATGGCCGAGTGTGAGGATGTCACTGAAGTCCTTCAGCTCCCATGGTGACAGGTATAAGGTCACACTGCAGGTGTGCAGGTGACAAGCACTCGGGGCAGCTGCCATTCTCACCAGGTCTCCCGCCCGCCCTGCCTCTCCCACACCAGTTTTCCCATCAGAACTAAATGCAGTCTGCCAGCTTCTTTCTCTGCCTGGCTCCTGATTCTCCCCTTTGTTTCTTTCCCTCCAGACTGTAAATTCACCTGCCACCCAGAGTGCCGCAAGCTGATCCAGCTGGACTGCAGTCAGCAGGAGGGCAGGGCCTGCGACAGAACCTCTCCAGAGAGTACCCTAACCCCGGCCTTCGGCCAGGTAAGCAGCAGAGCCCAATGTGCCCCCTGGTGCTACCATCTCTCCAATTAGCTCTGGGCAGCAGGGGCTGGTTTGAGGCCTTAGTATTCCAAGGGTTCTGCACATTGGGGTATCCTTTGGGGGGGGAGACACAGATACATTTCTCTTCAGAAAAGTGGCTTGGAACAGTCTACAGGAAATCAGTAGTGCTCTGTAGGTCCCCTCAAGCACTGCTTGTGCCTGCTGCTCCAATCTAGGTATGGGTTTGGGTGGGGAAAGGGTGAATCCCAGAGAAGCTTCTAAGAAGGTCCTTAGTATACTGGGGCAGTGGGGAAGGTGGAGCTGAAGCCTCACACATCATTCTGCCTTCGGATTATGAATCATCAGTCTCAGCCTTTCCCATTGTCCTGCCTGCCACTCATCCAGGCAGGCCACACCCACCTTCGAGGGGCGGGACAAAGGCTCTTTCCCATGTTAAAGAACCCAAGAAGTTGATGTCTAGAGACAAAGTTGGTTCTGGATTTTGCCCAAGCCCCTACACACACTACTTGCAGTGTGCAGGGTTTGGAATGGGATCAGAGGCACACAGTTATTGATCTGTGGATTGAACACACACGTGTGGTGATGATCTACCCTGTGCCCAGTGCTGCTGGAGGAGAACTAAATGATATATTCCATGATTATCCCTCAGGGGGCTTACATCCTGGTGGGGCAGGCAGAGTCCACACAAAATAGTATATTCTGGGATATATATACAATAATGAAAGTGTAGCTAAGCATGGCGGGGGGGGGGGGGGTGCAGTGCTGCAAGGCTTCCCAAAGATGGTGACATTTGCTGAGAGCCTTCATCTAATCATGGAAGTAAGGACTATCACAGGATCTCATCTATTTACTTGTGTGTGTGTGTGTGTGTGTGTGTGTGTGTGAGAGAGAGAGAGAGAGAGAGAGAGAGAGAGACCTGAGGCTTGAACTCAGAGTCTGGGTGCTGTTCCTGAGATTTTCTTAAGACTAGCACTTGTATCACAGCACCCCTTCTGTCTTTTTCTGAATAGTTATTAGAGATAAGAGTCTTCAGACTTTCCTGTCTGGGCTGTTCGAACTGTGATCCTCAGATCTCAGCCTCCTGAGTAGCTTGGATTATAGGCGTGAGCCACCAGCACCTGGCCCGTTTACTTACTTAACAAGTATGTTGTGAATTTTCTCCATGTGCCAGGCCCAGGAATGCTGGAGACTGAGTGATAAAGGGTAGAGATATTGTCCCTGGATATCATGTATTTACAAAAGGGAAGGGCAGTGACGTTAAAGCAATCTCTGTTTAAGAGGGAAAAGCCCTGGGTCCTGAGGGACAGTAATAGAAGGCCCAGATAGGGGACCCATGAGCAACACCAAGTATCAATGGAAACATCCACATATTCAATGGTGTTCAAATACCCAACCTGTCCATGGGTTCCCAGATCCCCTGCTCTTCCCTCTTCCCTTCTTCCTCCCATTGGAAAAGCTGTGCTAGACACTAAGGATGGCATATGATTTAAAGAAAATGATATTAAGTTGGTCCTAAATCATATATTTAAAAATTTAGCCCCCTCTCCACTTGGTCTTTGCAATGACACCAGTGTGTGGTGTGGCCTGACTGTGACCAGGCCTCTTGGAAGGAAGGACCTGGCTACCAGCTGAAACCTGACAGTCCAGGGTAGAGGTAAGACATGGGTGCTCGTCAGGTTCCCCAAGTATTGAGGAACAACACAGATTTCTCCTGTTGTCTGTGGTGCTGCTGGAGACCAAACTCAGGGCCTCCCAAATGCCAGACAAGCACGGTTGCCACTGAGCCATGTCCCAGCCCAATGATGCAGATGTTTACTGAAGGTTTCCTTAGGATACCAAAGAAGGAGGTTGCATACCGAGCAAAATCCCTACAAACCTATTTAAATAATTCGCTTCCCACTTTTGTTTTTCTCTTGGGAGCTTCTGAGTTCCTTCCTTCCTTCCTTCCTTCTCTCCCTCCCACCCTCCCTCCCTCTCTCTTTCCTTCCTTCCTTCCTTTCTTCCTTCCTTCCTTCCTTCCTGCCTTCCTGCCTTCTTTCTTCCCTCCCTCTTTCCTTCCTTTCTGTTGTGCTGGTATTGGCACTTGAACTCAGCCTGGTGCTGTTTTTAGCTTTTTCACTCAAAGCTAGAACTCTTACCACTTGAGCTATACCTCCACTTCTAGCCTTTCAGTGGTAATTGGAGATAAGAGTCTCATGGATATCTTTGAACTTCGATCCTCAGATCTCAGCCTCCTGAGTAGCTAGAATTACAGATGTGGCTCTTCTTTCTGTTCCCCAACCCTACCCACCCTACCCATCCCCTGTCCTGGAGTAACACACACACACACACACACACACACACACACACACACACACACACACACACACACACACACACACACACACACCACTGCTTCCTGGATTACCTTGGAGATTCTCTATTCCTTCTTCTACAGCACTAGTTGTACAACTACTTAATAAAAATAAATACTTTCTTTTTTGTCGATCATGGGGCTTGAACTTAGGGCCTGGGTGCTGTCCCTGAGCTCTTCAGCTCAAGGCAAGTGCTCTACCACTTGAGCCACAGCACAACTCCTGATTTTCTGGTGGTTAATTGGAGATAAGATTCTCACAGACTTTCCTGCCCGGGCTAGCTTTGAACCATGATCCTCAGATCTCAGCCTCCTGAGTAGCTAGGATTACAGGCATGAGCCACCAGCACCTGGCTAAAATACATATTTTTTGAAGGAGGTGATTTTGTCCAACTCAGGAACGTTACTGGCACTGGCTTGAGTGAGGCCATCATCCTGTAATGCACAGGAGAGCCACTACAAGGCATTACCTGGCCCAAATGTCAGTTGTGCCAAGGCTGTAAAGCCTGGCTGTGCGAAGCTTAGCCAGCCCCTAGGTGTTGTGAGCATCACACAGAAAGGACCTGCGGTTTGCACCCATTGCATCTCATCCTCAGAATGCCAGCCGGGAAGCAGCACTTTTTCTTTCCTCCGTGGAAGAGAGTAGGTAGACCACTCTACAAGCTAAGTGGGAGCTGGCTGGAGTAGAAATGTGACTGAGATGTCACAGAGGCAGAAGCAAGAATCCCACGTGGTGCTGAGCAGACTGTGTCAGGCTGCTGGGCCGGCTGGGCAGGCCTTGGTGTTTGCCTTGGACAGGACTGACTGCGTACTTCAGCGGAGCAGACTGGACCCGGCCTTCTGTCAATAAAGCTGGCCCTGCTCCAGGTCCCTTGCTGTTTCTAAAAAGCTTGTTTGTGCTGATTTCCATCTTGGCTTGATTTCTGTTAGGCTCAGGACGGAACCTTCCTTCATCTTGGGTGTCATCACGGGGCTGAGCTGATCTCAAAGGGCAGTGCCATTGTCTTGGGGCTATATCATGGTAGAGGCCTACGTCTGAGCTCAGTTAGTTCTGGGGGTACTTGGCTATCTAGAAGGTCTCAGCTTTCTGCCATTTCTCCTCTCTGTTCTTTAAGGGAACGAGAAGCATCGATTTTCCTCCAGCCGGAGAGACTCCTCTCAGTTCACATTTTTATACATCCTTCCTGTACATTCATACATTTTTAAAAACATGGTTGAGATTATCCTGTAGATAAGTACTTGGCCTCAACCTTTTAAAAGCACTAATCACAAAGTTCTCTCTGCCAGAGCGGGGGTGGGGGGGGGAGGTAGGAAAGCAGGGATGGCTCGCAGCCCCCAGTTTCAGACTCATGGGCTGGCCTGTGTCACCCAGGTGTCACAAACCGACCAAGGGCGACTGATAGCTAACTAGGTTATTGCCAGTCAAGGAACCAGTGGTTTGGCCATCTCTTTTCAGAGATCCTAAGGCGCAGGATGCCTGACTTTCTTGGTTACTCGTTGTATGATTAAACAAATCCTCTTGCAAGCGCACCCCAAATCCTGACTTAGGTTTTAGCCTGTTTGCCCAGAAAACATCATTCCTATTAGGCAAATATCACAGCAAATGGCCAAAACAGCTGGAATTACTTTATCTGGGGACCTGCCCTGAAGAATTGATACTTCTGGTGGTCTAAAAAGTGTTTTCAGCCAGGCGCTGGTGGCTCAGGCCTGTAATCCTAGCTACTCAGGAGGCTGAGATCTGAGGATCACAGTTCGAAGCCAGCCCAGACAGGAAATTCCATGAGACTCTTATCTCCAGTCAATTACTCAGAAAAAGCTGGAAGTGGCACTGTGGCTCAAGTGGTAGACTACTAGCCTTGAGCACAAAGAGTCTCAGGGATAGTGCTCAGAACCTGAGTTCAAGCCCCAGGACTGACCAAAAAAACGACAACACAAAACTTGTTTAAAGTGCTCTCAGAGAGCCAGCAGCACAGCTCATAAATCCATAAAGTGTCTGCCTAGCAAGCTGGAGGCCCTGAGCTCAAACCCCAGCATGGTGAGGGGAGGGGAAGCGCTCACGATGTTCCCGGGGAGGAAAAGCCCTCAGCATCTTTCCCAGTGCCGTCACAATGCAGTGAGCCCACCAGCGGCGCACTCTGGTCCTCCCAGGACCTCTGGGCAAGGCTGCCTCCATCGGGAGAGGCTGCTTCGCCTTGCCACCTGTGGTCATTGTCCATATTACCCACTGAAGTCCAGGGGAGTCCTGGCAGCTCTGTCTCTCTGGCCTTTTGGGGTCCCTATTCTTGGGAGCTGGAATGCTCAGACTATTGGAGAAAACTTGAACACCCTCCTGCTACTCAAATCCCACTCAGCCATTCCTCAACTCTTTTACCTGCCAGGCCAGATGCCTTTCCTCCTCCTGCCCTTCGGGGCTCCAGAAGCCAGAGGCTCACCCCATTGCTGCTCATCCTTCACACACCAATTCTCCCCACTTTTAGGATTACAGCCATAATTTATTTCCTTCAAAGTTCTCGTGTGTGTGTGGGGGGGGGGGGGTACTGGAGCTTGAACCCAGGGCCTTGGTGCTTATACCTTAGCTTTTTCTCAAGGCTGATGCGCTGCCATTTGAACCACACTTCTACTTCTAGCCTTTTGATGTTTAATTGGAAATAAGAGTCTCACAGGCTTTCCTGACTGGGCTGGCTTTGAACTGCAATCCTCAGATTTTAGTCACCCAAGTAGCTAGGGTTAGAAGCATGAGTCACCCGTACCTCAAAGCTCTCTTGAACTAGACTCGTTTTATATTAAAAGGGAAAAAATGTAAATATCCTTGAATGACTACTTCGATAGATTTTTTTTTACCCAGATACACATTGGATTGATACCTAATCTCAATAATAATAATAATAATAAATATGTCTAAAAACAGCTGCAGACTCATTCCACAAATATTTATTGAGTCAGGTCCCACTCTAAAATCCTGTTAGTGCTCCAGGGGAAAATGCTGCCTGCCTTGGCAAGGCCACTGTCTGTCTCTGGCCACCTGGTGAAGGACTCCAGGCTACGGACTGCAGGTTAAGCAGCCCGTGGAATGAGCTCTTGGGAGGCTGGGAAGAAAATCCAGTATCCACAGTTTCCAGGGTGCTGCTTCCCCAGGGGAGATGGATCTGCAAGGGCTGACAGGAGCAAGGCAGAGTGAAAACAAGCCCTAGCACAGGAAAGGACAGACTAGGCCTTTTGGTGTGTGTGTGTGTGTGTGTGTGTGTGTGTGTACAGAAGAAGAGCCTGGATTGTTGAGCAACAACCCATCTAAAGGGAGCTCACCTCTGCTGGGGTGGAAGTTGAAAGGGAGAAAGTGAGACTTTCAACTTTTGCTCTTTGCTTTGGAGCTATTTGCCCAACAGGTGGCTTCACATGCTTCAAATGCCATGTTTTTAAAAGACACTAAATATTGTTTTAAGGACGAGAAAGCCATCCCTGGTCTGAGGAGCCAGAAAGCAAGGCTGTCATCCAGATTGGTAGAGGATATATTTGGTTTAGGATCTGGGATGAGCCTCCAAGTTTCCCTGAGCCTCAGGGTCTCCCTGAGAGATGAGGAGGTCCATGGATAGTTGTGAGGCCTGGGCAGCTGACAGGCTGAATGTCCTGGTAACCGTCCTGGGCCATTGCTGCATTTAAAAAAAAAAAAATCAACCCCTGTGATGAAAACCCTCAGGATTTAGTCTACCTCTTAATGGTGTGGCTCTGCCAGCTCTCCACAGTGCTGGAAGTTGGGCTGTTGACCTGACATTAAGCCAGGATACTCTCAAGGCCTGGGTGGGCACATTTTTGCTATATGACTTACATGTTCCCTCCCAACAAGGTTCCATTCTCTTCTATAGATGATCTTGCCCCCCATTCACCAAGGGACAGATGGCTCCCAAAACTCCAGGGTAATCAGCCTGGCCTGATGGCCTTTCAGGACTGCAGGTCTCCCCTACCCCACTTCATACACACACCTCAAACACTCACACAAACACACCCCTTCCCGATGTTACCACTTACCATCTGACTCAGCTGGCCAGCAGTTTGAAGTTTCCTAGCTCCAGACCTTGAACTCCCTCCTCCAGACCCACTGTCGCCATTACCAAGGACTCTGTTCTAGACTTTTCTCGGAAGAGGAAGAGGAAGTAAGTACTCCAGCCTTCAGCCCCATGGCTACTTGCTGAATCCAAGACTGCCACACGGGGGAGGCAGAGAGCAGGAAGAGACTGAAAGCTTTGGGGAAGAGGCTGAATGACCTGCTTCTGGCCCTGGCGTCCTAACAAATCCTCCCCGCCAATAGACAGCCACACACCTCTTTAAATATAACCTCTAAAGTTCCCATGAAAATCATGCTTATAGCCAGCTGCCGGTGGCTCACACCTGTAATACTAGCTACTCAGGAAGCTAAGATCTGAGAATCGCAGTTCAAAGCTAGCCCAGGCAAGAAAGTCCCTGAGACTCTGATCTCCAATTAGCCACCAAAAAACCAAAAGAGGGGCTGTCGCTCAAGTGGTAGAGCGCTTGCCTTGAGCTGAAGAGCTCAGGGACAATGCTGGGGCCCAGGGTTCAAGCCTCAGGACCGACAAAAATCAGTCAATCTGTCTATCTGTCTGTCTGTCTGTCTGCCTGCCTGCCTGCCTATCTATCTATCTGTCTATCTACCTACCTACCTACCTATCAATCGATCTGCCACACCTATAATCCTAGCTACTCTGGGAGCTGAAATCTGAGGATCATGGTTCAAAGCCATCCTGAGCAGGAAAGTCCATGAGACTTTTATCTCCAATTAAACACCCAAAAGCCAGAAGTGAAGCTGTCGCTCAAGTGGTAGGGAGTTCAAGCCCCAGGACCTGCACAAAAATAAATAAATAAAGGCTATCAAATGGAATGGAATTGTGATTAATAGTAACAGTAACTTGCATTTGTCTGCCTGTTTGAGTTGTTATTGAGAGAAAAGGGGGAAAGCTGGTATGTTGTTTTTGAGGTAGCATCTAACTAACAGCCAGGGTGGCCCCAAACTTATGATCTTCTGACCTCCACCTCCACCTCTAGTAGCTGCAATGACAGGCATGCACCACTATACATGGCTATATTTCTATTTTGAAGCTCTATTATTGGGTGAATTTTACAATGATGTCCTCTTGATTAATTTATTCCTTTATCATTATAAAGCAACAATTTATCCCTGGAAAAAATTTTTGATCTAAAATCTGGTCTGTCTCATACTAATATATACCCACTGTAGTTTTCTTTTGACTTAGCATACTATTTCTTTATTCCTTTATTTTTAGACTATTTGAATATTTTTATTTATGAATGTATCTGTTTATTTACTGGCTGGAACCAGGGCTTCAGGGATCATGACTGGTGCTCTATTTGAGCCACACTTTCACTTCCAGCCTTTTGCTGGTTATTTGGAGATAAGAGTTATCTCAGGTTTGTCAGGCTAGAATTTCAGTTCTCAAATCTCAGCCTCCTCAGTAGCTAGGATCATAGGCATGAGCTACCAGTACCCAGCAATATTTGTGTGTTTACACAATCATGTGGCTCTTAATAGCAGAGATAAAGAGAAATGCGCAGTTAAGTATATTGATTTTGTCAGGTGAACATCATAGATTGGACTTCATAACCTACTACACACGTGGACTGTATGGTGTAACCCATTCCTGGTAAGCTACAAGTGTGTATAATGTATTATTGTACTGAATACTGTGGGTAACTGTAATGCAGTAGAAATGCTGTGTCTCTAAACAGAAAACATCAGTAAAAATGCTAGGAATTTTTAACTTCATTATAATCTTATGGGATCAACTGTTGTACCTATGTTCAATTGTTGACTGAATCTTTGTTAAGGGAGCACAGGACTGTATTTAAAGATCTTTCCTCCCTCTCCCCCCCTCCTTCCCTTTCCCTCTCCCACCTTCCCCACTTTCCTGATCAGGCTAGCTTTGAACCACAGTCCTGACTCTCAGTCTCCTGAGTAACCAGGATTACAGGTGTGAGCCACCAACATCAGGGCTTATCACCAACTTTAATATAACTTCCCATTGAATGTCCTTTTCTCTAAACTATAGGAAGGCAGTGATGGTGTCTTCTTCCTGCCAGACTTGGATACCCAGACCCATGCTTGCCATGTAGAAAGTACTTGATGATTATTTGTTGAATGAGTGAATAAGCAAGTAGAGCTTGACCCGGTATACTTACTTGATCATCATGAGAGCCAGCATATGGTTAAACGGTTCTGTGACTAGAAACTACCATGATCAGAGCTTGACAGCAAGGGATGGAGAGACTGGAGGAGGCAAAGATAAGAACAGGGCAACTCCTGGGAGGCAGGAGTCATTTGCAGTCATTTAGGCAAATGGCATTTGTGGAGTTAGGAAATCGTAGTAGGGGAGAGTGAGCAGCAGCCCGGTGAGGTGGGGCCCGCAGAGCTCCATTTTGCCTAGAATGCGGCTGTGGTGGGCAGGGCACATACTCACTGGGAGCTGGTATAATTCCCATTTGGAACTACCTGAGAGAGAGAAGTATGGGCTACAGGTCTGTCAGGTGTGGCTGAAAGCTGTTTGCAGGACACCAGCCCTCTGGGGAGCCGGGGCACCCTGTTGGAGGGGGTGTGGGGGGGGGGGAGAAGAAAGGACAGGAGTACAGGCAGACTGAGACCGTGGTCTCTACCTTGTTTATGCACTACAGTTTCAGGCCATGTGGTTATGATGAGAGTAATCAGGGCTCACCCACGAGGCACAGAGTGTAGCGGTCAAGGGCTCAGGGTTTTAGAGTCCAACCCCGCTGGGTTGGTTTAGTTCTGCCATTAACCAGGCTGTATGGCAAATAGGAAAGTGATCAAACCCACCTGATCCTCCTTGTCTGTAAAACAGAGATAATAATGACCACTTCCTTATATGTGTCTTGTGGGGATTACATGAAATGATGCCCAGCAAGTTAATCATACTCGTTAATAATTTCAAAATATGTAATGTGGGTGGGAGAGCGCTTGATCTCATTTTCAGCCTCTGCCCCTCAGGTGGGGCGTGGGGGAACTACCTGAGCTCCAGAGTTGCTCAGGTTGAAGCTGGGATTCAAAACCCAGCTCCTGACTTCCAGGAACCTACAGACCCAAGGTGGCCCTGTCAAGGGGTTTCAGCCTCATGCCAGGATTGCATCTGAGAAAGGAAGAAAGCCTGAAACAGCGCCTTCCATCCTCTGATACGCTGAGTCAGGGAAAGTGACCCACTTATCATTTCTGATCCCCAGTGTGATACTATGGATCTCAGATTTTTCATCCTGTACTTTTGCAAGGCATGCACTCTACCGCTGAGCTACCTTCCCAGCCCCTCATCCTGTACTTTTGGTCCTGCCCTTCTTCCTGGGCCTAGGGACAAGAACAATTAGTTCCCATGTTTTGTGAGTTACCCCCCTCTCAGAGGTTGGGAGGCTCCTCTATGCCACTGTTGTAAGGTAAATCATCCCAGAAACCACACTTGGAAACATAGAATGGTGGAGTCTTTATTATACAGTTAACAGGCTGCAGGCCGCCAGTTGTTGCAAAGGCCTGTAGCACACAAGTACACATAACACAGCTAGGAAACATGCTAAAGAGGAAAGAAAGAACAAGAACAATACCAACAAGCCAATTCAGCTCCAGTGGAGAGCTGAATTGGAACTCCATGATGACTGAAAGTGAGCCAGGAGACACAGGTGGCATGGAGCCATCAACTAGGCTGGTCTGGGCCTAAACAGGTCAGCACAGGGGGCAGATCCTCAGGAAATTCCCAGTCCTAGGCACTGGCCTGACAGATTCAGTAACTTATCCGCCAAGTGCTTGCCCCTGCCTTCAGGGGTCTGGGCACGCCCATTACCTGGGAGGCAGGTGATGGGGGGTGGGAGGAGAGTTTCCTTCCCCCAGCATGAAGACAAGTTGCCAGACCCTACCATCCACCATGTGGCCAATATGGCGCCAGCCAGACCTGGCCTCTGTACTTTACCAGGTTCCCCTTACCTGGGTCAATCAATACCACTGATGATTATTCCTAATTGTCCTTAATCACTCAGGGGACTCCAGCCTTGTCTTTGAGACCTTAGCATGTCAGTCTGGATTTGTTTTCCTCCTAGAGGCTGGCCAGTTTGCTGTATTGCTGATGATCTTTATAGATTTCTTTTAGTCCTAGGGACCCAGCCCAGTGGCTTGTCTGTCTGCTCACTTCCTTCCCGCACATGGCATCTTTGCAAGCCCAGATTTTGCACAGGTGGAGTGGCACAGGGACATTCACGAGGAGTTGGAGGCCTTGAAAATTATGAGGTGTGATGGAACGAGTTACTTCCCTCCGTTTCTTCACCTGTGAAGTGGGTACAAAACCTGTTCTCAGGATTATAGAGGAATGTAAGTGAAGCAATGGGGTAGTAAAAGAGTTTTGAAAAGCTGATTCAGCCGCAGCTTTTCAGTGAACACCGTGTCCCAGAGAACTTTCCTCCCAGGTGTGGCATCTAGGGAGTTGCTCGGGAGGAGGGACTCATGCAGGCTCCTGGGGCACTTTGACTTGCGGTATGAAAAGGTTGTTATTAGCTGTATTGTTCTTTTGAATGGATAAACTGTGGCTGCTTTACACAGCTCCCTGTGTGACTCCAGGGATCCTTGGAGGCCTTAGAATCTGGTGCTTGTTTTGTCCTTAAGTATTGGATTCCCCCTGAGCAAGGAGGTTCTTTTTAGAAAGAATAGAATGTTTCTTCACTGGCTGGACAAAGCAGGTCAGTCACTTTGGCCCATCGATCACTGAGAACTGTCTCTGCGCCACCCAGCAGACTGACACTGATTTTGGAGGCTGATACCAGCTTCCTTGACCTCTTCAGTCTTGGGGAGATAGCTGCCCCTACCCCAATGCTCTCTAAAATACCCCTTTGAAGACAGGTCCAGAGCCTGCTTTCAACCCCGTGTGTGTGAAATTTCCACAGCGCCTGCAGCCAGGCTCCACTGTCTTAACTGCACCAAGCTTGCTAGGAAGAGGCAGCTTCTGGTACTGACTGTTTTCCTGAGCTCAGGGCCGCTGGTCCAGGAGTATGGGCTCAGCTCTGTGCCTGCCAGATCTTTCTGGGAACGCAGCTGGGTGGGAGGATGGAAGAAAGTTGGGTTGCAGTTTGAAGCTCTCCTGAGCACCGACAG